CTCCCCGTTTTAGCTTGGGGTTAGCTGCACAAAGCCTCCGCAGGGCTTTGTAGCCTGTGGAGGCTACAAAGGCTGTCCCCACAGCCAGAACAGCGAGAGGGAGCACTGCGGAGCGCTCCGTCTCGCTGTTCTAGCTTGCGGACGGCTGCGCAAAGCAGCGGGGTGCCTTCACCCCACTGCCCTTCGGAGGTTACGAAGGCTGTACGAAGGTGGGGGGAAGGCTGCAACGTTTCCCCCCCACCGCCAGCCCCGCAAGCTCGGGGGACAGCGGGAAGGCGGCGCGGCGCCTCTGTGCTGCTCCTCGACCTGGTCTTTGGGACTGGTGGGGGGGGAAAGCAGCGCTCCCCCCCGCCAGCCCCAAAGAGCAGGTCAAAAGGAACCCAAAGCCTCCGGAGCCCAGCGGGAACTCTCGCTGGGCTCCGGAGGCTTCGGGTGAACGCACCTTGAACGCACCTTGTTTTAGAGGGGGAGAACAAGAATCCCCCCCCCCGTTCTCCCCCTCCTATGGTCCGGTGCGTCCTATAGAGCGAATAATATGGTAGTTCCGCAGTAGATAATAGTTCCCGTTATTCTTTCGTTCTGCATTACTTTGGGCAGGCAACTGATACATCTTTAAACAAACAAAGCCTCTTGTAGCGTTTTAGTTAGATCCCTGAGCAACAGCACAAAGATTCGCCTGTAGATTTTATATAAACATAGCTTGCATTTACAAACTACTTCTGATGACAATGAAGCACTAAATCTAAACTCCAAACATTTTGCTTTAAATGGTTTGTTGTAGAGTGAGCCGCCTTGAGCTCAGATTCTAACAGCTCAGCTTAACTGGGTTGTTCTGTTGTTTTAGTCTGCTTGTCTGGATTTCAGATACAGTCGTACCCTGGATCCCGAATGCCTTGCAAGTCTAATGTTTTGGCTCCTGAACGCTGCAAACCGGTGAGAGTTGCAGTGAGTGTTCCTGTTTGCAAACGTTCTTTGGAACCTGAACGTCTGACACAGCTTCCAATTGGCTGCAGGAGCTTCTTGCAGCCAATCAGAAACTGTGCTTTGGTTTCGAAACATTTTGGAAGTCGAACGGACTTCCAGAACGGATTCCGTTCAACTTCCGAGGTACCACTGTACTTCAAATTTTAAAGACCTTGTGTAGAAATGGCTGGCTCTTCAGATGCTCATTTCTGTGCAAAAATTCATGGTTAGGCAGTTCCTTTTATTTGTACCAACAAAAATGTAATTAGGCTCTACTTGGTGCTATACAGATTTTTCAGCGAGAGCACTGGTCTGTTCCTCCCATTTTTGTAAATATAAAATGCAGCTGGACCGCCAAAACATACAGGAGTTTGGGTAGGAGGAAAACAAAACAGAATTCGCTAGTTTTAAAGTTGACAAAATTGCTGATTACTTTTTTTAAGATGTGTCAGGTAAAAAAGTAAATATATTACAATTATTCACTAGTTGAAGAGAGAAGGTAAGAATTAGAGTCTTATCTTCAGCAAAGTTCAGTATTCTCCAAGACATAGACAACGGAAAGAAAGTCAGGGTATTTGTGAAAAAAATCTGGGTAATGACTGGATTCTACATTTTCAAAAATGGATCAGCTATTTTTTTGTATGCCCTAGCAGCCTTTGTGCACATTGTAACCTGTGTAGTACCTAATAGAGCCTAATCTAATTAAGTCTGCTATCTTTTCCTGTACTCCATCTTTAGACTGTGACTAATGCAGACACCATGGCTTCATTATCACAGCAGCTTTTTCACTATTTAACATCCAACTTAATGAAGAGCACTGGAGAACTTGAAAGATATCTCACTATGCTGTGACATTTTTTCTTGGTTCAAATGAAGGTATTGCCTGAAAGAGGATTTTAGATTATTTTCTCATGGAACAAAATGGCCCTTCTTCCTTTTCCCTTTTTTTCTTTCCCCTTTCTGAATAATATGTGTTAATATTCTACAAACGGTCTATGTTACTATTGCAACTAGTAGAGAGCTGGTTCTAACTGGTCACTTTTCATGCATCTGCCCATTACTATTTCTTTTCTTTTTGTTGCATGTGTTGAAGTAGAACAAAAGGTTGTACTGTTTTACTGTTTAGTGCTACAACTTGAAGGATGCGTAACGGGTCATTAGATTTTCAGTGTGTGTTAAGCATCTAAACTTAACATGCTTTGACTTAGCATGCTTTGAAAAGTGATTACAGGACTGAAATGCTGTCTCTTCCACACTGGAATGGACTAATAAGCAGTCTTTTGGATAGCAGTAAAAAGGAAAAAGCAGGCAATTTTGGTTTAGGAAGCAGCTTAGTCATGCTGGCCACATGACCCGGAAGCTGTACGCTGGCCCCCTTGGCGATTATCCAGTGTTGACAGTGCAGTAGAAGAAAACACTGGTAGGACACCCAATTTTCAACAGCTACTGTTGAACTTTGCACTGTTGCCACATATTTTAAATCCAGAGAAGAATTTAAATTTATCGGTAAAAGCAAAAGCTTTTCTGATAAATAAAAGCTGTTCTGTTTGCAAGGGACAGTTAATTGTAATAATTTAACAAAAGCTACCAATATGACTGTGCCGTTATAGAAATCTTGAAATAGGAGTTTCTAGTAAATGTATGAATCTGATGAAGTAGGCTGTTGACTACCAAAGCTTTTGTAACAGTTGGATATGCTAGTTAAGACAAACTTAAAAATAAATTCATATAAACTGCTTGTTTCCTTAACTACACTTTACTGCTTTAATAATGCAAAATGAAACATTTATAACCATGGAGTATGAAATTGTTCTGTTTGACATATTTAAGAAATTTAAATCCATAAATGCCTTAGTTTAATACAAGCAAAATTTCAAATATATCTGGTTGGTTTCTACTTCCTTCTGTGAGTCTTGGTTTGTTGGAATGTAGTAGTCACCCAAACTTTCAGATTTTTCATCTGAGGCTTGGGCATCCACAGCAGGTATTTTGCTCTTTCTTCTTTGCAGCTACTTCTGTCTTTTTATTCTCTCAGCAAGGCAATAAGTTGCTTTTCCCCTAGTCAGTAACAGTGATTTGTAGGGAGAGGTGAAAAGGTAGACTATGAGGGAGGGGTCAGGCCAAAAACGACAGAAGAACCATGATGTTCTCTTCCAGCATCTCCAAGCAAGAGCAGAAGTTACCAAAAGAAGGCAAGCAGCAATTCACAAACAATGAAAGCCCTGTACATTATGTGTCTTATGAAGATGTCTAGGATTGATGTATATGTCAAAAAAGTAATTCTCTAATTACAATACTTATTCTTGGCTAAAGTTTATGGTTAGCTAGGAGAGAGCTTAACCATAAGTTCAGATGGCACACTGGGTTCAGATGGCATGCTAAGCCAACCCTTCGCTCAGCACAGGGTTGAAGAAAGCAGCTGGCTTACAATGTAGTCTGGCTTACAATGTGGTCTGAACAAGTTCAGTGGCCACTAGTCAGGATAGCTGTTGCTCTGACTTAGTAATCATTTTTTACATTCATTTCAAGGCAATTTGCAAACATACCGTGAAACAGCAAAAATGTTATTTTAAAAATAGAAAAACAGTAACTAGAGGGAGGTTTAAAAACAATAAAAAATAAATGCTTAAGGCAGGTTTTCATTCAGCTGGAAAAACAAATATGTCTTCAGTTATAGGATCTTAGAATTGTAGAGTTGGAAGAGACCCCAAGGGTCATGTAATCTATCACCCTGCAAGGCAGGAATCCCGGGTGGGCTCAAACCACCAACCTTAAGGTTAAAAGCCAGACTCATTGTGCCACTGAGAACTCCAAATTGTTTCCGGAAAGTACAGATATTGGGCACTATTCATATCACAACAGGGATGCTTTCCCACAAAATGGACAGTGCATCTCAGACTCTATGGAGTGGGCCTCTTCTTGAGACGTTAAGGTGAAATTCCTGCAGAATGCAGTGACCTACTGGGAATATAAGGGATAAGAGGTTTTCTCAAGTAACCTGCTCCTGAGCTGTATAGAGCCTTTTGAGTTACTACCAAAACATTGACTTTGATGTAGTAGCACGTCGGCAGCCAGTGCAAATCTCACAAGGCAGCCCTTTAGGCAGTTTAGGGAAGTTTTTAATGTCTGATGTTTTATTCTGTTTTTAATCTGTTGGGAGCTGCCCAGAGTGGCTGGGGAAACCCAGCTGGATCGGTGTGATATTAATAATAAATTATTATTATTATTATTATTATTATTATTATTATTAGGTGTGTGCAGCTGGTAGTTTGCCCCTACAAACAATACAGAATGCATAACATAAACTTTGCAGCATTTTTGAGGCCTAGTGGCTTTGCTTATCTTCTGAAAAACATTGCTATTGAGCATAGCTATGCAGTTCTGTGTAATTTCTTTCCCAGCTTTGGATAGCATATATGGCAGGTAAATCTTGGATTGTGCTCAAGATGGGCATCTATGCAGATGGAGCACCAGTGACTTTACTTGGAATATACCCTTTTCTGAAGGAAGACTGTGTAATGTAGTACATGCATGTCCCGCTATCTGCCCGTTCAGTGTGCAGAAATTCACTTATCTGAACGCAAAGAATTAGGCCTAAACCTTGCTATACAGCCCACTGGAAATTGTCCAGTTCCTTACTTCCTAGCTTGTTTGTGCTTTGCTGGTCAGTGACAGCCATTTTCGGGCAGAAAACATGCAGGGAGGAAGCGAGATCAGGCAAAATAGAGAGCAGGAGAGATCAGACAAATCAGTTTTCCCTTTGTCTCTCTTTTGCTGGTTGGCTGCAGCCATTTTAGGAAGAAACCATGGAGGGAGTGGGGACAGACATTGAGCAAATCCTGGATTAGATATATTCGCACAAGACTCAGTGGAAATCATGGACTCGTTATGCGAACTTTCACCTAACAAACGATTTCCAGGGAGCACATTGTGTTCTGTAAGCGGGAACTGCATGTACTGATTTAAAATGTAGGAATTCTAAGATTGCATGTGGTTGCAGTTACACATTCTATAACAAATGAAATGTTTTCTTCTAGGTGCAATGGATGAGCTTCATAGCCTGGATCCAAGAAGGCAGGAATTGTTAGAGGCTAGATTCACAGGAGTAGTGAGTGGAAGCACTGGGAGTACAGGAAGCTGTAGTGTTGGAGCAAAGGTAAGTAGAAATATTAGCTGTACAACATAAAGTGCTCTTTTTCAACAGAGTGGTGATGATCTACCTTAGCAAGTGTATTAAGCAAAATGTCACAATGAGGTACAAGAGAAAATGCTGAAGTTCATTCAATACCTGGAGTTCCTTTTAGCAGCATCTTCTGGAAGTAGTTGCACAAGCTATTGGCTACGCCAGAACCGCTAATTATGTTCACATGGTGACCAGAATATGCATGTAGGTGGTAGTTTCTGGAAACATAGACTCTGATACTATCTTAATATTATATAATTTCTAACTAGCTGTTTGAAACATATTATGCCAAATAGTGTCTCTGTTTTTCAACAGGCCTCAACAAATAATGAGAGTTCTAATCACAGTTTTGGAAGCTTGGGATCTCTAAGTGACAAAGAATCAGAGGTATGAAGAATTTAAACAACTAAACTGACACTTCTAATGTAAGATTGTTGTAACTCTTTTTCATACTTGTGTACATTAGGCCTCATTCTTGAAATGTGCATGCCCGTGAGATTTTCCTGAATGGTTCTACATTGAAGATCTGGAAAGAACCAATACAGTGGTGCCTCGCAAGACGAAAAGAATCCGTTCCGCGATTCTCTTCGTCTAGCGGTTTTTTCGTCTTGCGAAGCAACCTTATTAGCGGCTTAGCGGATTAGCGCTATTAGCGGTTTAGCTGCTAAAAGGCTATTAGCGGCTTAGAAAAAGGGGGGGAGCGGGGGAAAAATCGCAAGACTAGCAAGACGTTTTGTCTTGCGAAGCAAGCCCATAGGGAAATTCGTCTTGCGAGGCATTCGTCTTGCGGGGCACCACTGTATTTTAGTGTTTGTGCAAGAAGATTATAAATGCTATGCTGGTCATGTACGAGTAGATTTGGTTCTATTCAAATGGAAGGTTTGCTAACCACTTTTAGTTTTCTGTTGGATAACGCTATCTGAAATATTGGGATATTGTCAATAAAACACTTTTTTAGTTAATGCAGATCAATTACTCATCTTTAAAAAATTTCAGTGCATAGTGGCTTCCAGAATTACAGCTGCACTATTATGTGTGCAATTTTCGGTGATGGCTTCATTTCAGAGACTAATCAAATGTCTGTCTATTTTATTATGAGATTGGAGTTGATTGGTAATACCTTTTATTCCTAAGCTATGACCCTTAAATAGGACTATATACTATTTAGCAGCTGTACTGCTAAAGGTTCCTTTCAGTTCTTGAAATAGCCAATTCTTTACACCTTGTAATTTTTCCAGCTTGCGAACCTTTCCATAAATTTACGTGGAAATGACGTGTAAAGCTTCCGTTGGTGAAATTCAGCTGTACGTATGTAGACGCCTGCCCGTGTAACAGGAATTAACTGTCTTCTCCAACTCCCTGCAGCCTCCCTGGGTGCCTCCAAAGTCCACTCTTATGGGGCCCCAAGTCCACTCTTATGGGCCCCCAAACCCAACAGCAGAAGTTGAGGGCACATGGAGGACTGCAAGGAGGAGGACAAGAAGGTGAAGTCCCTGTTGTGTGAGCAGATGTCTGTTCTGCTAATGCACAGACAACATTGGTGCGATCAGCAAGTAACAGTATGGCTTTTTTTTCAGTCATACAAATACCTGTTTCCTTCTGCCTATATATAACCTACCCAAAGAGTCCCTTCTTCGAAGGCCCTGATCACTATGCCATCTCAAGTGAAGTGTAGCCGTGGCTACAAAAGGCAGGGCCTTGTCAGTGCTGGCACCCTGATTATAGAACAGCCTCTGCAGAAAGATAATTGCCTGGCACCTTGTTTATGATCTTTGTGGCAACAGGTGAAGAACTTTTTATTCACCCAGGTCTGGTAAACTTTTGTTTTCAAAACAAACCATAGGGGGCATATCCAGTGTTGCAGCTCCACTGGCACAAGGGCTTAAGTGTGCACAATGGAACTTCCTGTTCCTCTCTTGTCCCCTCCAGCCTCACCCCCCTGCATTGTCAAAATCAGCTCCAGATGATTGACAGACCCTCCAAAGCACATTTGGGGCACAAAGGGAAGAGAGAAAATGGAAATCCCATTGCTCCTGCAGAACCCTGCTGGTGCAGCATTAAATACAATCCTAGGTGTTTCAGTACATTTTCAGATAAACCTTTCCCCCCCTGCTCTGTAGATTGTTTTGTTCTGTCTCTGCTAAGAATTTTTTTGTTTCTTTAATTGATCTTGGTTGGTTTTAATAACTCTATTTTTAATTTTTTTAATGTTGTGTGCCTCAATTTCGTAAGCTGCCTAGATACGTTCGCTGGTATATGTGAGCACTAAAACTCTGAATGTGTGTGCATTCTCTTTTTCTCAAGATTGTAAAAAAATATTTGACAATAGAACTCCTGTTAGGATGTGGTTGTAGGGTTGTAATTTCAAAAAGACAACAGCTTTCTGATTACTTGTGATTTCTCCAAAGTACTTGACTGTAAAATGTAGGTTATGCCTGGGATTCAAAGAATGGTGCAGCTAGTTTCATGTGGGGTGGGGGTGGGGAGTGCGCGTTTTCAAGCAGCAGCCTTCTACGTTACATGGCAACTACCTCCGAAAAAAAGGGGGTTTCTAAAAAGTCGAGGACCCATCACATCATATCAGCATAAGAATTCCCACTTGACACCTATAATCCCTTGTGCATGCCTAAAAGTAGATCTTTGCATCAAATTCTTCGCATGAATGTAAAACACACATTTAGAATGATAAGGTTTTTTTAAAAAAGCTTAACTCAGAAACAGGACTGACTTCATTTCTCCTTCGCTTTGTCACTGTAGTTGTCAGTGCACCTAGCAATTCATCCAGTACATACATTAGATTTGGCACAACAACTTCTAGCTTGAAATGGGCTTGCTTGTATTCAGGAGCGTTCCAAAATGATCGAAGGGTCATCTGTTTTCGATCACATTGTTGGATTGTGGTTGAAATGTGAAGAATTTAGAAAATGCTGTTTTGACTCAGAATTACTTAGCAGTACACCCCCCCCCCAAAAAAAGCTATACTTGGATTTCAGCTGTATATGGGAAATAGTAATGACTTCTGCCTATGTTTTATGAGCAAATGGATTCCAGTGCCTTTTGGCTTCTAACTTTTCTGTGTTAAACTGTGATTAAAATTTGCTGACTCTTTATATTACACCATGGTTTGTTTGATTGTGCTAACCCTATCCAGCAGCTTAACTTGGGTTCCAGGCAACAAGCCACAATCTGAAGCCATGGTTTGTTGGCTCACAAACTTGCTTTGTTTTTAACTATGGTTTGGTATTGTGTGCAAACTGAGTATCCTTCCTTAACAATCTTTTTTTTTTTGGCCTCTTCACCCCAGATGCTTGTTGAGCTATAAAGACATATAGAATAACTCATTGTTAACTCATGATTTGTTAAACAATGACTTAGCATTATGTGTAAACCTGGCCAATAAGGGAAATAATATAATTGGGAATTGGGAAATTGCAGTTTTGCTTTCTTTTGAAGCTTGGTGGTGGTGGTTTGGAGCTTGTGTCCTAGGAAAGCATGCGTTTACTGTAGCTTTGATCCAGAGTTATCCCATCTGTTAATGGAAATGTTCATTCTGTTCACAAAAGGGGTTTAGATCCTTTGAGGCACAGGTTGGAGGAAGGCAAGGAGACAATTTTTGCCATATCCCCCTTGTCACCATGAACACTGCTCACCCAGTCCTCTGTAGCAGCTCTTGGGGGGTGTTGTTGCTGCTGCTGAAAGAAGGAATAATTTTGCAAGAAACACCTCTCCCCACCCCAATTCCCTTATTCCACCTGGAGCATTGAGTGGAGCTTTTTGTGTGGGAATTCTCAATCCAACTCTGTACTCTTGTTTACATTTTTAAGAATACTTTTTAACACTACCTTGAATGTCAAATGAGAGTGTACAAAATGAATGGCTTGTATCAATTCCCACGCCCAACATACATAAGCACAAGGCATTTCCCATCTTCACAGGGGTTGCTGTTGATCCCTCCATTCCATTCTGGAGGGTCTCCTGTTTATTTCAGCTGGGGGGGGGGTATGGCAGATGTAGGGGTTGCCTCAGAAAGGGAGTGTGTGCAGTAGGAAGGTCATGTGACAGTTCTTTAGATCTGAGCCAGTCTTTTCTTTAGCTCGTAGTTGTTGCAGTCAGCTTGTAGAGATGTTTTCAATATTTATATGCAAGCAAATTAAAGAATAAAATAATATTAAAACAACCTGGTTTACTGGGGTGATAGAATGAAGTAGCTGCAGTAACTTGATGCGAGTAGGGATTTTGTACAATTCCTGAAAAAAAGCATTCTATGTGTCACCTTGGAGATAAGTGAAGCTGCCTATTGGTTGAGCATCTCTTTTTAATGCATATTTGTGCGTAGAACTGTTGCTGGCTCCTTTTCTATGCATTAAACAGCATGATTTTGTGTCTGGCAGACTCCCGAGAAAAAACAGTTGGAACCTTCTAGAGGAAGAAAAAGGAAAGCAGAAAACCAGAGTGAAAGTAGTCAAGGTATGATATATATCATGTACAGCTGATTTTTTTTTTTAATCTAGTAACATTTCAACTTATTGGGAAAGAAGTCCTCCCTTTTTGAACGTCACACCCTTGCTTCGCATTGTCAGCGGGCATCTAGCTGCACCGAGTAAAAATTCCACTAAAAGTTGAATTTGGCTTATGTGTAATTATGGTTTTCTGCTTGCCAAATTGTAGTCTCTAGCAGCACTTTACACAAATATGGCCCTAGGAGTTAGTTTCCTTCTTGAAAAGACAGGGTGGAGTCAATTTTGTAGTTATGCTGTCTTCAGCTGAACAGTCATCCATTATGGTTGTTTTAAAAACCAGCATTCTTCCTTGTTGCTCTTTTCATTTCATATCATTTTCAGTCTGTATATCACTTTTCCACATTACTGATCTCGAAGCAGCTTACAACCTGTTGAAATGACAAAATATAGAACAAAAAACACTGTGCTGTTCTACACATATTCAGAAGATAATGAAAATTAACAAAATCCAAGAATCTACTTTACATATAATAATACATATAATATTCAACAATATATTCAACATATAATATTAGCAAACTCACCCTGTCAGTTGCAACAAATTAATAATTGCAAGTATTGTTAACGAAGCAAACAGCATTTTTTTAAAAATAGTTTTATAAAAGTAACAAATTTTGCTTGATTTTGTCTTAGGGCTTTTCAAAGTAGTCTGGAAGGGACATGCTGCAAGTTTTATTTTGTCTTTTGACAGACACTCGAAGGATCAACGATTCTCTATGGATGTCAATAAATATACTATCTCAGTTTGGAGATGTGTTCACTCGAGAGCAAATAGAGTGTAATAGAAAAATGTTTTGAAGTTGAGGTGGTCTATTAGAATTTTTAAAAATAAACTAGCATTGGAATTGATAAATAGCACTCTGTATTGCTATGAAGATTTGGAACAAGAAATAATATCTGGTTGCTTCGTTTGCTTATATTTGATTCAATTGCTGTCAGTAATTAGTTCTTGAATACCTGTCTCATTATTCTAAAAGGCTCCCAGCCCTCCTTTGGAAGAGAGTGTGCTTGGTCCTGGAGAAAATGCTATTTTTAAATTACATTTTCTTATCTTTGTAGACTTTTGTCCAGAGTACAAAAGTCAATGTGCTCAATACACATTGATACATGCACATGCAGAGTAAACATTGCTGCTTGTTTAACTTTGCAGATTTGATGCTTTTAAATTAAATTCAAAAATATCAGAAGTTGATTTGCATTGTTTAACCATAGCACAAGCTTTGAAGTGTGTTTGTGTGGGTGCTTCACAGAAGTGCTGCTAAACAGAAATTGTATAATAAACTTGTAAATGGCTTATTGTTCCTACTATCTGAAATAGAAGAGAAATGTATTTTAAGAGCAGTCCACAAATTAGCTTTAAGCAACTGTTTTGTTGGAGGACTTAATTCTACTAGCTCTAGTGACTAATGTGTTACTTTATCAAACTTGTCTGAATGGGTTTTGCAGAGCCCTATTTTATTTCCGTTGGAAGAAATGGTAGCTGCTGGTTAAATAAAGAGGAGTGAAGGACCATCTTGCTTTATTGTTTAGATAAATAGCCATTCCTTTCATAAACTCATTAGAGATGTGCTGTTGTACGACACACCTTAGAAGTGAGAATAGTTTGAGGGTTATAGTTGACACACAAACAGTCACACCTCCTAGTTCCTTCCTATACCTTCTTTTGGACTGCTGCTGTTGTGTCTTAGATTGCTATCTTGTCCGTCTTCCCAAAAGATATCAGGGTGACAGACTCTGCTAGATGTTATTGGCATAATTTTGCACTTTACAGTGGCTTGGACCCAGACACAATTTGCTGCCATCTCACAGAGAACGCTCTCCTGGAGTGTATGGTTGGTGGTGCTCCAATGCTTATTTTGGGGTGCACACCACTATTGCTAATTCATGGTTCAAATAATAATAATAATAAAAATCCATAGAATGACTGGTAGACATTTTGGAAAATGCTTTCTGTAAACTTCATTCCAAGCTACGGCCAAGTGGAAATTGCCGTCAGTAATGAATTTTCTATGGAAATAGGCATGAGACTAGTGCTCTGGAACAGTCTCATATTACTCTTCATGTGATAACTTTAGACAAATTTATGGCTTTAAAGAATATTTTGGGGAGGCAAGAAAGCATTTCATGATAAAAGGAAGAAACACTACTTTTTAAAAGCAGAAGCATGTGTGGGTGAGAGAGATTCTCGGTCCTTTTTTTCTGTACGTGGGAGATGGTCTTAATGACTTTGAAAGCTGTCTCAAAATGTCATAGGCCAGTATCAACAGCATCTTGCAAGTACAATTGATGATCCTATACTTGACTTATAAAGCAGTAAAAACGAATGTAGGCTGTCCTCTGTGTGCATTGTTGCGAAGTGTAAGATGTTATCTATACCATATTTATATGTAGAGAGTGTTCAGAAAGTTGTCTGTCTTTTCCATTCCTTGGAGATGCATCAGAGTGTTTTGTGTGCGTTCCAAGAGCCATATGGCCACTTTATTTCAGTCGGCTTTTGGTCAGGGGTGTTAAGGCACCAATGCACATGTTCTTAGCTTTAAACTTTTATCTTTCTGGAATTTGGGGTACTTTTATCTTCTAGATTTGTTTTCAAACTATGGTGATTGGTCTTTAAGGTCTTGCGCTGAGCCATCAGGATCAAGCAACTCAGAATGGTAAATGGATATAAGATGCTGTGTTTCCTTGTTACTACAATGGTCATACAACTGCTCAAATGTCTTTTGCTGACTAAATCAGTCCTATTAATTATTCAGCCTGTGGAATTAGGATAAGAACACAGATAAGTAGGCTCTTACTTACAAATCCTCAGGCCGCAATCAATCTGCAACCATAAGGTGTTTAAAAGGCCTTGTTTACTGCAAAAAACCTAGTGTGGCTACCAGTGCGATCTTGTACATGTCAGCTCAGAAGTAAGTTCTGTTGAGTTCACTAAGTCTTGGTTGGAGTTACATGGCTATAGGATTGTGGTCCTCATTATCCAGGATTCAGCAAACATTAGTCACGAATAAGTCCGCTGAAAACAATGGGACTTTTCAGTAGTAACTAAGTATAAATCTGGAGAAATAAGGTTGGTCCATATAGTCTTTGAAAAAGTGATTGTTTAGACATTCCTAAAAGATTAATGTAAGGAAACAAAAGCACTTGCCAAACTAATGAGAATCTGTGAGAAGCTAAAATTAAACAATACCTTACAGCCTACATATCGCACAGCAGAAATTATGCTTTTTTTGTCTCTCTAATCTTTTTGATGATGATTTTATTTTTTAGGGAAAAACATTGGTGCACGTGGGCACAAAATTAGTGACTATTTTGAAGTAAGTGCTATGATTTCACTATATTCTAGTTACGCTGTTTCTGTTTCATACATCAAATGTAGCTTTTTCTGAGGGATATAAACTATTGTATTTGGTTGTTTATTTTTTATTTTGTATATAAACATTTTTTTTCTTTTCTTCATCCCAAAGTGCATAAGGTAACAAATATTTATTTAATCCCTTTTTGAATGCCCTCTCAAACTATCTATATGTTGATTTACCTTGATGGGGAGAAGATGGTTGTCACTGAACCTAGTGCAGGTCTTCTAAAACTGTGGTAAACTGAATAAAACGGGGTGCATTTTGACTTTTTTTTGTACTTAAACCATACAGTTCCAGCTAGAACAGGGGTCAGCAACCTTTTTCAGTCATGGGCCCGTCCACTGTCCCTCAGACTGTGTGGTGGGCTGGACTATATTTTGAAAAAAATAAAATAAAAATTGAACGAATTCCTATGCCCCACAAATAACCCAGAGATGCATTTTAAATAAGGACACATTCTGCTCATGTAAAAACATGCTGATTCCTGGACCGTCCTCGGGCCGGATTGAGAAGGCGATTGGGCCGCATCCAGCCCCCGGGCCTTAGGTTGCCTACCCCTGAGCTAGAAGTTCCAGATAGTGTTGCTGTCCTTTCACCTCCCAGCATATGCCTATTGGAAATTTATACAGAGCTAAAAGAATATGGATTTTGTGACCCAGTCACGCTATTGCTAGGTTTTTACATTGTTGCTTTTGTGAAAAAGCTTCAGACGTATAGTCATAACTGGAGACTAATGGAACCTAGTAGGAAGTGTGACTCTATTACAATGTGCTTTTTAGCACAAATGAGCAGAAGGTGTCATCAGTAGAAAAACGGGCTGCTGCTAATATCCTCAGTTTTAGTACCATGTGCATAAATTGTCAGCAGCTTCCTGAATTTACATATTTAGTCTCGATGGCATTCTGCACTATTTAATAGATTTCTCAGTTATGGAAGAATTGCACAACCTTTCTACCGTTAAATTTTGCATGCCTTTCCTGTGACATTTGACAATCCCTGGTTTCCTAACTGTAATACTGTATGCATCTTCAACAGTTTAGTTTTTTTGCTTTCAACTTAATTTACTTAGAATTTCACAAAATATTGAATTAAGCAAGTTAGGAAGCAAAAGCATTACCAAAGACTTTCTCCCTCATTTGTGCTTGTTGCTAAGCTATGCTTGCTGGGGTAGCTTTTCCAGGGTAGTGTCCCTCAACAAGCTATTGCGTGTGTATTCTATGTTAGCTGTTTCTAGAGGCCCTTGATATTTTAAAATGTTTTAAATATGTATTTATTTTATTTTAATAGTATTGTTCTGTTATTTTGTTTGCTGCCCTGGGCTTCTTTCAGGAGGATGGATGTGGTACAAGCTTAATAATGTACAAGCTGGAGATTGCTCCTGCAAAAGTGAACGCCTTTGCCTTAAATCTAAAGTTGTAATGACAGTAATACTAACTTTTGCTCAAGCATCAGTTAATGGGCAATTAGTTTTTATACAGAAATAAAAATGAAGAATTGTTGAGTGTTGAATTGCTGTTGTGATAAACAAGTTTGTCTCAACACACCCCATGCAAATCACTCGGAAGGGTATTGCATTTGATTACATAATCTGAATTTTGCTTAGTACATTTCTGTTAGAATATAATTGATTTGTTCACTTTTTTCCAGTACCAAGGTGGAAATGGGTCTAGCCCAGTAAGAGGAATGCCTCCTGCGATTCGCTCTCCTCAAAATTCACATTCCGCCCCTTCTTCCGTAAGTTTACTCTGTATAATTCTCAGCTTATGATTCAGAAATGTTCATGATAGTCTTGCAGAGGCAGTGGCTTGATAGATTGTTCCCTTAGAACAGGGAACGTTTGACCAGGACTGATGGAATTGGAAGCGCAACATGATCTGGAGAGCCACTGTTTCCCCAACCCTGCCTTAGAACACACGCAAAAAACACCAACAACCGCTTTTATTGTATTGTTACTTTTTGTTCGCCTCCCTATTGGTAATATGCTTGCATAGAAACCAGCGGTTGAGTCTTTTTGCCAGGCAGTGTGATAGGAATCTTCTGTTTCTCCTTTTTGCATGTCCACATGTTGGGGGTGGGGTGTGGGGAGCCAGATCACAAATAACAATGTAATGTTAGAAGTTATTAAATGGCCTTAATGGGGGTAGCCAGTGATGCTCACATGATTGAGAAATGGACTTCTGTTTGCATGATGGGACTTATCCTTCAACTTTCTGGAGCAGATTTTTGTGGAGTGTAGGAGGTGTAGCGTCTAGGAGAGGAAAAAGAAGTCCCATTGTGTGAGCAGACATACCTGTATGTAGTTGAATGTTGCCCAATAAAATTATTCAAAGTGTCAAACTTCCATGATTTGTCAGTTCTTACACTTGCACTTTTTGGGAAATAATTGGCAAGAGCATTTGAACGTGGGAACAGGTTCTCACTGTTAGGTTGCCACATTTCAAAAACTGAAAATCCGGACACAAAAGTTGAGCTTTTCTTAGTTTTGCCGAAAGTTATTGAGCTTCCACCCCCAGCCCCCCGCAAAATCGCAAAAAAGGGAAAAAAAGATTTCACTGATTTCCGCCCAGACACTGTTTCCGACTGCCGTATTCCAGTTATGTCCGGGAATTTCTGGATGTATGGCAGCCCTGTCTTGCTGAGCACTGGGGTAGAATATTGCCAGAACATTTCCAGCCCCTCTCCTTATACGATCTGAAGAGAAACCAGAGTACTCCCCCCTCCTTATCTCCTTTGAAAAATATTGCCTATTAATTTTTTTAATGTGGAGAGGGATCTGCAGGTAGTCAGCTGGGTTAATGATAATGCAGCTTGTAAAAAGGTGAAGGTCCAATCTAGAATGGTAAAATAGATTTCGCACACCCAGTTGTACCTGGTTAGAGAAATGTGAGACATTTTTAAATCTCAAGTTACTATATCTCACGGAGGAGAATTTTCCCTCTCCCCCATTCCCGGTCCTACTCCAGTACTGACAAAAGCTTCAGACTTTATCTTCTAGTATCTGAGAAAATTGAAGCACTTCCAGTTAAATACCACTGCACGTTTAATCTAATGAAACGATGGTGTCTTCAGTGGGTCTGGATTACTCCCCTGGTATTTCTCCCTCAATTCTGCTATAGGCAAAGAGGGATTCTCTTGGGAATCCCGTTGAATTAAAACAATTACACGAAGGTGGAAAAGAAATGTTTTCCTCTCCTCCCCCCCCTTGCTCCTTCTTGTAACTATATAGAATCCACAAGCATGTTCAGTTTACAAAAACAAAAACAAAAACCCCATACAGGTTGGCTTTTTCTTTAAAACAGAGTGTTTCCTCCTAATTCTTTTTTTACTAAAAGATAATTGAGAGGGGTTTCAGTTATGCATATTTGGAAGATTGTCAGTCCTCTTTTTCAAGACACTTCCCCCCACCCCCAATGGATTTTGGTTTGGGGTGTCTGGGGCATATCTTTCCAGGCAAAGACGCAGCGCCGCCATGAGCAGTTTTCTTCCCCACACTTCTCCTAGGCGTCTGCGTCAGAGGTGGGAGAGAGCCACCTTCTGCTGTGTCCCCACAAAATAGCAGGGAGAAGCAATTCGTGCTTGTCCTTGGACTATTCTATTAAATTATTTCTTAGAAACCTCTAGGTAAGATCTGCCATTGCTTAACTGTTCCCTTTCTGATACAGCAGTTAGGGAGGCTGGTGTTTTTGTGTAGTGTTGCTTCAGAAATGAAGCGTTCAAATAGGGTTGCTATATCTTGAAGAGCAAAAGAGGACAGTCTCAGCTGCTGTCAGCCCAAGCTCAGGTTGGCCACGACTGCAGCATGCAGAGCAGATATTTCCTTTAAAATGTAAAAATTCACCCAGATGTGCATGCTGGCCCCAGTGGCGTAGCGTGGGGGGGTGCAGGGGGGACGGCCGCAACATCTGGGGTTAGGGCAAATCCACGGGTTAGGGGGCGCAAATCCACGGGTTAGGGGGCGCAAATTACTTGCCTTGCCCCGGGTGCTGACAACCCACGCTACGCCACTGGCTGGCCCCACAAAAGAGAATATGTCCAGGTTTCTCCAGATGTATGGAAATTCTAACCAGCCATTACCATCTAAAGGAAGAATATTCCCTGATCATTCGTGGAATGAAATATATTTTCCCACATACCCTGTCTCAGCTACAATCTAGTAGTTGATGTGTTGTTGCCTGTTAAAACAGCTTTACCAACAAAGTGTCTCCAAGCATTTTTTTTTTTTAGAAGAGCTATTAATTTCCAATAGCTGTAATTTGTAGTGAGTGTCTTTGAAATAATATTGCGCACCAAAAGTATTAGAAGATGCAGCAAAAGCCACCAGTGGTTCCCCTAATTGCCTTCCTCCCTATTGTCTGGAAAGTCTCTGCAGTTGCTGAGACACGTAACCGGTTGCTAGAATTTGGATAGTGATACAGGACAAAAATGTTTCCATTAAGAATTAGCACATTTACAAACACAAGTCTCAAGTCTATTGAAAAATAAATTGGTAATACCTGAGGATGTGAACCTGTCCAATGCAAAAGGGGTGAGGTGTAAGATACAGAGGTCCCTTGGTTCTGTGCTGTCTCTCAGAGACCAATTTATGTTGCTGTATCCATGCAGTTGCCTTATATGATAGTCTTACTACCCCCTTAGAGACCGTTTGAAATGGTATTTTCTCTGAAGGTGCATGAAATGATTTCCCCCTGTTCATTATAAAATAAATAAATTGGGGACAGTTCTGACATTGGTGGCAGAGGCAAATGGTGACTTCGTAACATTCCCTGCAGATGGTATTCTCATGTATCATGAGGAAGTTTCTGTCCCCTGAGATCTGAATAGTGTAGCTTTTAGTACTGGAGAATGAAGAGCCATGTGTATTCCAGTTGTAGGTACTTACTCCTTTTAGTAGAAGAAATAAATGGCTGGTTTTTATTCATGGTCTGGCTACCATGGAGTCCAAGCATTTCAGGTGTGGGGAGGGAGAAAGAGGACAATGTCTGACCAAGCAGTTTCCCTTATTTTAGCAATTTACTTCGTTCTTATTTCTGCTTTCCAGTCACGTGTAAATCTTATATTTTATCCGTGGCACATTTAGGTTCGACAGAATAGTCCTTCTCCTACTGCATTATCTTTTGGGGACCACCCTGTTTCACAACCAAAGCAGTTGTCATTTAAAATTACTCAGGTAAGCACTCTGGATTGTAATTCTATGCTTAATGCTGAAAATACATGAAGCCATTCTGTTTCATTATTCTACACACATACACATCAGTTCTGATTTGTAACCGCTGCTTAGAAAAGGTAGCGTGTGGTTAAAGCTAAACTTGAAGTGTTTGTTACAGTGAAAGATTGAGAGTAAATAGAAGCAAGCCATTCTTCTGTCTCTATTTTACACCCATTCCCAGCATAACAACACGTGATCTTCCTAGGGAGATTACAAAAATATATATATGGAGTACAATTTCAGGACGGATGCTCTGGGATTTAAGGTCTCGAGATTCTGATAGATGGAAATGAAAACATCAACAGGAGTTATTATTATTAAAATTTATATACCACCCTTCGCAGATCTCAGGGCAGTTCACTACATAAAAATACAAGGTAAAAAACACAAAATACATAATAACGAGATTAAAATGGAAAAGCAGGGTGCAGGTAACTTTTATCAAGGCTGTGTAAAGTAAAGGTAAAGGTACCCCTGACTGTTAGGTCCAGTCGCGGACGACTCTGGGGTTGCGCGCTTATCTTGCTCTATAGGCTGAGGGAGCCGGCGTTTGTCTGCAGACAGCTGCCAGGTCATGTGGCCAGCATGACTAAGCAGGGAGCATGGGAGTGTTGACATTTCCATTCCACCTTAAGGAGCAGACGCATGGAATAGTTGCGTGTCACATGTCTGTTTACATTCCAGCACAGCTTGCTGGGAACTTCCGTTGTGTATAGCTTTTGCTTTTTCCCTGTACTTGCTTTTTACCCTGAGACGATGAGAGAGAGGCGACATGTTTCTTTGCCTTGATTTATGATTAATAGATCTGTAGTTGTGGTATGCTTCCACAAGCCTCATGCCTATTCTGTGTGCGCAGTTCGCTGTGCTGATACTGTGCCCTGGCTTTGAAGCCCAGGTCGCCGATTTACGTCGGAGCAGCTGCCGATGGTCTTCGAAGCGGGAAGACTGGAAGGCGACTGCTCAGCTGGGGCTTGCCAGCTGGCCTCCCAGCCCTCTGCATGTCGACAGGGAGTTGTAGTTCAGAACATCTGGTGGGCACCACATTGGCTCTCTGTGTTTCAATTTAACAGAATCCTTTAGGTCCAGAATGCTTGTGAAGTAGCGGAAGTGTGTGCCAGGTGAGGTGTTCCTCGCTATGGTTTTCTCTTTTAACTTGCAGGACTCAAAACAGAAAGGTTGGATAGCAAGTTGTGCAACCTGGCATGACTGTGACCAGTGCTGCCTCTTCTCTTGAGTCATGTATGCACCCAGTTCAGCACAATCTGGATTATACAAAAGGCATATTGCTCATTTCCTTCTAAGAAAGGGAAGAATTTAGAGCTGCCGCTCTTCAGGCTTCTGACAGTATTTGCTATTTTGCCTAAGCTGAATAAGTTTGTGGTAAATTAAAAGGCTGCATTCTGATGGAACTTACATGGAATTTGATAAATATTTGCTTTCCACTTCCCTACTATTTATTTTTTTTAATGTAGACTGATCTCACAATGTTGAAATTAACTGCACTTGAAAGTAATAAAAACCAAGACCTGGAAAAGAAGGAAGGTCGTATAGACGATTTGCTCAGGGTAAGTATGATAACGGTAAGATTAAGAGAGAAATATAGGGTTACTTACACTGCTTTTAAAATGGCAATTTACTTGTATTGCATATGACTTAAGCTATCAGAAAGACATAGAAATGTATACTTGCCAACGTACTTATAATACTGCATCCTCCAAACTCTAGGAATCTTTTGTGGGGCCATATTTTTAATACCTGGGGAAAGAGAAGGCACGGCTTTGGGTCTATATGTATACAGTTCATAATTGGCACTCCTCATTTCCTGTATTTGTGATTTGTTCATGCTCAAAAATTCTTTAGGAAAAAAGCCGTAAGAACTCAGTGGTATAGAACTGAGTGAGCAAGGTGAGTGGGAGACATAGCTGTCAACAATTTCCCTTTTCTTGCGAGGAATCCTATTTGGAATAAGGGAATTTCCCTTTAAAAGGGGAAACATTGTCAGCTATGGTGGGAGATGATTAGGTTGGGAGGCGAACTGAGTAACTGGAAAAGGAGGAGGAAAGATAACACACAGAGATTTTAAGAAAGTTAGAATGTACCACCTCATTAGGTCACTTCCTGGTTCACCCTTGAAAGCTATTTTAATGTCATCAGAGATGGAAGGGGGAGTTGTCCAAAGATATGAATGGAAAAGTGAAATATTTTAATATAGCTTCGATTTGGACACAAGTGTGTCACCCAACGTAAGCTGGGGAGAACTCCAAACAGGCCAATGAGGACTGAGCCTGGAATGCTGTTTGTGTGTGTGTGTGGAATGGATGGAGAATAAATGAGAAATGGAGATAGAGGATGGAATAGTGCAGCTGAGACCCTATTCCAGAAGCTTTCGGCCTTGCAGCATTTTATCGCAGGGCCCCACTGGTTACAAATACAATTTCATTTGATTCTCAGGCTAATTGTGACCTACGACGACAAATAGACGAACAACAAAAGCTACTTGAAAAATACAAAGAAAGATTAAACAAATGCATTTCAATGAGCAAGAAGCTTTTGATTGAAAAAGTAAGTTGGATTTTTAAAATATATTTTTTGTTCAGTATCCACAGTGAAAAATACTCTGTCCTCCTAATCCTGTAGATCAGGTTAAACTGCAATGGCATGAGCTGCAGTTTGTGTCATTTCAGTAAAAACCCGATCCAGTCAGCAGTAAGGTGGGTCAGATACCCCTGTGTCCCCCTCTTACTGTAGCAGTGCAGGAAACTGCTTCTCTGGGTTGATTCCCACACAGCAAGAGAGAGGCACTGTGTAAGGTGGGGGCAGATGTATGGATTTGTCTCATAGGTAGATCTTCCCTCCAGGATGAAATGAGGAGATGAACTAATGGACAAGAGGAGGTTGTTGTGGTCATATGTAAGAAGATTAGAAGACCTACTACCCTGATGGTGCTGTATTTAAACACAGAAATAGATCCCTGGGTCCTGGGATCAAATTCCAAGCTGGTATGAGGGAGAGTCATGATAAAATAGGCTTAATTGGAAACTATTTAGAAAACTGGAAGAGGTTCCCCCCCCCTTCTGATGCAAAGTGGAAATAGCCCTCTTTCCTCTTCTCCGTTGAGAGTAGCAAACCTGTCCAGAATACAGTCTTTTTTTCAGGAACAGGAGGAGGGTTTAATAAAGAATGCAGAAGGTTTCAGCTTTCAGCGCTCTCGTATTTGCCTTGCTTGATACCACAAGCACAAACCAGTAAGGCACTCGCAAAGATACGCAAGCAACTGCATTCTGCTCAGCGTTAGCAATCTCAGCTGATGTGCTAACTTGGTGGGTGCTGAGCCACCACCCCCCGTGCTGAAGAAAATGCAATACCCTCACAAAATGGAAGCCTTGAAGGAAGGTATCTTGGATCCTTGTGCAACAAAATAAGTGTTGCATTTCTTGTGGCAAAAATCTGTTGCAGAGAAGGAAGGGCTCTAAAACTAACTGGTGATATTTTTGATTTCCTTAGAGCACACAAGAAAAGCTGGCAAGCAGAGAGAAGAGTATGCAAGACAGATTACGCCTTGGGCATTTTACGACTGTTCGACACGGCGCATCGTTTACCGAACAGTGGACAGATGGCTTCGCATTTCAGAATCTTGTGAAGTTAGTCAATATTGTGTTTTTAAATTGTTCGTAATTACTAGCTCCAAGGAGGTGGGTGTTTTTATGTAAAACTGCCGGCTTTGGGATTACTTTTTACACACATCATGGTATTCAGGCTTTTTTAAAAAAAGAAGGGGAAAAAAGACGAAATCTCAGAATACAGTAGAGAATTGACTCAATCATCTGTCTGTTGAATTTCTTACATTTGGTGATTTTGAAAGCAAACACATGAGTAGGCTTGCATGAGTTTCTCAGTGAGACTTGAAAACAAAGCAGACTTTTAGAACATGTAGATTAATGACTCTCAGCTTGACCATGCATCTACAATATATGAAGTACTTTGAGCTATTGGTCTGCTTGTTTACCATAAAGGAGCAGCAACAAGTAAATGAGAACCTAGTTGACTTGACTGCACTTCTACTAGCATAAAATAGGGAATAGAGGGAGCCTGTAGTTGCTGGCAAAAAAAAAGGCGCTTCAGTAACATAATTTAGCAGAGACTTGGCAGAGGAGGGAATGACTGAGAAGGTGTATAGGTAGAATCAGAGTGAAGAAAAGTAGAATTCCTGTGTTTTAATTTCATGGTTTGAATAGAAGGATATCATGTGTAGTCCATCTGTTTTAGTAGTAATGTTACTAAGCCATAGTTAAGAAGATGGCTTGGGATGCCTCTTGAAGTTGGCACGCATGTCAGAGAACCCTGATTAACTAAATTACTACTTTGCATGTTGGATCCTACATCTTACATGTGTCTTGCACAAATTCTTTTTTTAACCAAGCTTCTGGAACTATTTGTCTTGTAATTCAGTTATTTGAATGAAGAAAACATGGCTTATACAGTGGAACCTTGGTTTGCAACCGTTTTGGATTACAACCACATCAAACCCAGAAGTGCATGTCCCTTTTTTGGATTACAACCCATTTTTTTTGGATTACAACCCTCCACCCCCTTTTTTTTTTTTGAGGCCCCATTGGCGAAAGCATGCCTTGGGTTATAACCTGTTTTGGTTTACAACCGGACCTCCGGAACGGATTATGGTTGTAAACCAGGGTACCACTGTAATGGAGATGTAGAGGATATTTGGGGACCTGTGACCTGTGCCAGGTCAAATTTGGCCCGCAGACTAGAGGTTCTCCACTCCTGCTTTAGGGAATCAGCTTAAATCCACAAGAGTTAAAACATTTTTTAAAAAAAAATAAAAAATCAAGTCTGAAAATCATCTTAAAACAATGCTTTGGCTTTGCAGGCAACAGGAGTGGGTAAATCAACAAAGGGAAGATATAGAGAGGCAAAGAAAACTTCTGGCAAAGCGAAAACCTCCTGCTACAAATAATTCTCAGGCGCCCTCTGCCAATTCAGAACCTAAGCAGAGGAAAAACAAAGCTGTCAATGGAGCAGAAAACGATCCGTTTGTTAGACCCAATTTACCACAATTGTAAGTTCATACTTCTTTTCTAATTATGTATTGAGTATTTGTCATGATGGTGCCACAGCCACCTGTTTGTAGCCGTTCAGAAAGTTGGAAAGCTAAATTTTTCTCCCTGCTTGTAGTGGCCCTGGTGTTGTGGCCTGGGGGGAGCTCCAACGATGTGTGTCTTCCAAAAGTGTTGCTAATTGCAGCTTGCTTGTTTTATCCCACAGAGCTCTATAGGGCCATTTCCGAAGCCTGCCCTCTGTGTTCTGTATTTTAGTTATGACAAGGGAGGGAACTGATTTTTGTATATGATTCTCATTTTGGTTTAGAGTCGGCAAAGTGGTGTAAGATATGTAGGTGTTCCAATGAATACTAAAGCTTGGGTCCCAGACTGGTACTTGCTGAATCTAGGACGTCAATAATTCAGACTCTTCTGGCATCAAGTACCCTTTCTATTTAAGAACATCACTGTGTAATCTGTTGCTCGTTCCTATAAATGCGACATGACTTTGCACTTTATTCTAAATGTGCAGTCCCACATTATTACAGATACCTAATATCTCTTTGTCATCCTAATATAAGATGCCTTGTGAACCAATAGCATTTAGCACATACTGTAATATCAGCTGCATTTGATTCAAACACCAAAGAGTTACGGGAATTACACTGTTCTTTGATACCTCCCTGTATCTTTTGGATACAATTTTGGTATCAGAACATTTTGTTCCACATTAAGCTTCTGATCATTCAGAATGTAGCGGATTCTACAAGATGCTGGAGGAATTGGCTTTCTGTGTTATGAATCGGAAATAAAATACGTTTTTTCCCATTCAACTTTTAGTAACATGTACTGTGACTTTTTGTGTGCAACTTTGGATTGAAATGGTTTGTTATCTATGGTAATTCCTGCAGGCTAACACTAGCAGAATACCATGAGCAAGAAGAAATTTTCAAGCTTAGATTAGGACATCTCAAAAAGGTATGTTTAAACTGGATCTTTTTTTCTGATCACACAGTATTGTAACCATAGACTCTACCCCATTGGTTATAGATATGATCCAAGTAAGCTGTTTAAGATTGAAAGAACCATGCCTGTAGCAGGAGCATGCTTTAAAATACTATATAGAGCTGCTCAGATAGTCAAAAGTTGTATGGCACTTTTAAACTGAAAGGTGTATGGTGATTTTGCATCGCTTGTGAAAACTTCAGTATTTTGTGTCTTGCATTATACCATGAAGAATAGCCATTCTGTTAAATGTCTAGTTTTTAATGTAAATTCCATGCTGTCATTTTGAATGACAAGAGGAAGGTATACATAAATTACATGTTGGTAATGTTAACAGTTGCTGTAAGAATATGTCAGTTAATATTATAAAGTCAGTAATCTGCATTTTTGGGACACACAACTACACTGTATACTCAGTACTTGTACTTCTTAAAAATTAGCAGTGGTAAACTTATTGTTCAGTTAATAAGATCAGCTTGATTGACCTTTTTTAAGAATACTGCTCCTTTTTGAACAGTGGAAGCTTGTAGTTTGCTAAGGAAGGTATTATGCAGCAGAACATTCTTCAGGAAAAACACTGCCATCTGTTTTGTTCCTCTTTCAGCTATGAGAAAAATGCTATCCCATAAGAGAGTAGATAAAGATTGATTTTTAAAAGTAAAATATTTCTTTAAATTCAAACTTCTATTTTTAAATGTAAATAACTTGTTCAAATTTTGTGTGTGTGTACCTTATAGTCAGTCTCTAAACTGATTTAATGTCCTCTACCAGATACATTAGGGATGTGGGTGGCGCTGTGGGTTAAACCACAGAGCCTAGGACTTGCTGATCAGAAGGTTGGCGGTTCGAATCCCTGCAATGGGGTGAGCTCCTGTTGCTCGGTCCCTGCTCCTGCCAACCTAGCAGTTCAAAAGCACGTCAAAGTGCAAGTAGATAAATAGGTACTGCTCCGGCAGGAAGGTAAACGGCGTTTCCGTGCACTGCTCTGGTTCGCCAGAAGTGGCTTAGTCCTGCTGGCCACATGACCCAGAAGCTGTACGCCGGCTCCCTTGGCCAATAAAGCGAGATGAGCGCCGCAACCCCAGAGTCGACAAATGGTCAGGGGCCCCTTTACCTTTTCTTTTTACCAGATACATTGGCTTAAAGGAGGTTTTTTTATTGAAGAGCCAATTTGCTAGATTTAAGTCAGTTCTTTTGCATGAACCAAATTGAACCCTGCATTTGTCATCTGAGGCCTTTTTCCATATGCCCCCTGCAAGGGAGGTGTGGAAAGTGACAACAAAAGAAAAGGCCTTCTCAGTGGTGGCCTTCCCATTTGTGGAATGCTGTGCCGAAGGGGGTGACACCATCAGCAGGCAGGCACAAAAGTTTTTGAACTTGTTCAGTCATGAAACTGGTTGTTTGGGTACTATCCCCATTGTTGCAAGAAAAAAATGGAATACATCAACTAGAGGCTTTGTAGGAGGAAATTAGGTGTACATCTTTCAATTTCTCTTTCAAATGTTGAGATCCTGAAACAAACAATTCCCTGGTTATCAGCTGAGGGAGGGATAAAAAGTAAACAAACCAACAAACCTTGAGATTTCATAAATTATTTGTTTTGATTTGCAGGAAGAAGCTGAAATACAAGCAGAACTTGAACGTCTGGAAAGAGTTAGAAATCTTCACATACGAGAGCTCAAAAGAATAAACAATGAAGATAATTCTCAGTAAGGCACTAGATTTTAATCTCGCATACTTACTCTTCTCCACTTCACTCGCTCTGGAATAAATGACACACAGATATCCATGCCTCAACTCTGCAAAACCTGTTTTTGTTTTTATACAAGCAGCACACTTATAACAACAACAACAACATAGAATGTATTTTAAGTTGAATCAATACTGCTATGATCCAAAACTATAAGAATGAAAACACTGCACTCCAGTATTTCTTTTTTTGTATACACAAAAATAATTAGTATTAAAATTAAGTACTTGCCTTTCTCATTGACCAATGTTCTTGCTTCTTTTTTTTTAATAATAAGGTTCAAGGATCATCCTACGTTAAACGAGCGATATTTGTTACTTCATTTACTTGGTCGAGGTGGATTTAGTGAAGTATATAAGGTAATGTCCTCTTCTTGGCTGGTAATATTTATTTATTTTTTAAACGTATGCCTACCAACATAGATGACCCTCTCTAGAACCAATTCACTGAAAAACATTTTAAACAACAAAACTATATCAATTTAAAAGTATAAAAATAACCTCTCCAGGTTTTCCTGAACAACTAAAAACTGGTATCAGGATAGAAAAATATAAAAGTCAATCTGTGCCCAGAGAATACCCGAACCTTTCAGCTCAAGCTTTGGTTGCAAAGAGCTGTACAGTGGTACCTCGGGTTACATACGCTTCAGGTTACAGACTCCGCTAACCCAGAAATAGTACCTCAGGTTAAGAACTTTGCTTCAGGATGAGAACAGAAATCGTGCTCCGGCGGTGCGGCAGCAGCAGGAGGCCCCATTAGCTAAAGTGGTGCTTCAGGTTAAGAACGGACCTCTGGAACGAATTAAGTACTTAACCTGAGGTACCACTGTATTGGAATAAGCATAGAGAAGGCAAGAATGCCTTTTCTAAGCTGGTGCCTGCTTTTTTTAAGTGATCTGTACATACATTTGAAAACTCTGTGTAATTTTTCTTCAGAAATATGGGCCTCGATTGAACGGTTTAGAGTTCCCATGGTTTAGTGTTACAAGGGAAGCTAGTTTCAACGAAACATAGTTAAGATTAACCACGGTTTAGAGTTTTAGGGAGAAGGTCAAAAATGTTGAACTTTTTAGGGGAGCCAAAGTTCTCCATCTTCTTTGCGGGGTGGGGAGCCAGTGATCTACCACAAACGTCCAGTGATCTACCTGTTGGACGTGCCTGCTTTAAGTGACCTGTACATACATTTGAAAACTGTGTGTAATTTTTCTTCAGAAATATGGGCCTCGTTTGAATGGTTTAGGTTTCCCATGGTTTAGTGTTACGAGGGAGGCTACATTCAACGAAACATAGTTAGCATTAGCCACAGTTTAGAGTTAGAGCGACATGCTAAACTGCAGGTTATTTGAAACTGAAGCTTGGTGACCCCTTACAGTTGTGCTGAGATGGTTGTGAAGGAGTGCTCAGCTTGCTGTAACATGTTCCCATAATGCTAAGAACACGTGTGAAGGCAGCTGGTGCCCTTGGTCTGCACATTGCAGTAAACCAGATCTTGTCTATAGCTTGCTGTTGGCGAGGAGAGAGCTCAACCAGTTTGGATGACGCACTAAGCCAAACCTTGGCTTGTCTTACCACAGTGCAGAAGGAAGAGCAAAATGACTGTGAGGGCCTCTCCAGGAACCCGCAATCCTGGTAAACTATAGTTTGGTTTACCTACCCTATCACGTGAACCAGGCTACGGTGGTACCTCGTGTTACATACGCTTCAGGTTACATACACTTCGGGTTACAGACTCCACTAACCCAGAAATATTACCTCAGGTTAGGAACTTTGCTTCAGGATGAGAACAGAAATTGTGCAGCAGCGGCGCAGCAGCAGCAACAACAACAACAGGAAACTCCATTAGCTAAAGTGGTGCTTCAGGTTAAGAACAGTTTCAGGTTAAGAACGGACCTCTGGAATGAATTAAGTACTTAACCCGAGGTACCACTGTATTATAGTGTGTGTTCCTCTGCAGTCTGAATCAGTCAGAAAAGGGGTGACCAAAATGGTCAGGGCGCTGGGGCAACTCTCCTGTGAGGAATGGTTACAGTGGTTGGGGCTTTGAAAAGGTTGTGTCAGGAAAATATTTGAGGTCTTTAGGATTTTATGCATGCTCTTTCATAAAGATAGAGGAGGACCAAGCATTACCCAGTGAAGCTGAATGACGGGAGGCACCAAACAGACAAAAGGAAATACTACATCATGGTGGATACTTAAACTATGCAGTCTGCCAAGACAAGATGTGGTGACTAAAAGGGGATTAGACAAATTCAAGGAGAAGAAAGCTATCCCATCAGGATAGTTGTACACTCATTCCAGGCTGCCTGTGAATACCAGTTGCTTTAGAGCAAAAGCAGAAGAGGACTGTTGCATTCCTGTTCTGCCTTTGTTGCCTTCTCATAGACTGTGGGAGGTTACAAATCTGTAAATTTTAAATAATGTTTACCTGCTTTGAGTATTTGATCTGGGAACGATCAAGGAAAAGCTTGTGGGCCAATTAATAATAAGCAGTATTTATTCATTATGACAACTGCTTTTTAGTATTTTGAATTAGTAAATGCACGAGTACTGATCACTCTATTTGAAGTGAATGTTCAGACTAGGAGATAGTTTAAGAGCAAGTAACCAGGCCATCTCTCAATGTGTAGGAGTGATAGGGAGGGCAGTTTATTTGGCCCCAAAGGCAGATTATGTACAGTGTCCTGGTTGTTGAAATCAGCAAAAATTAGAAAGGTGCCAGACAAATTATCTGACTCTTCTGAGACCATTAACAATAGTATGTTGGCTTCTGAAAAGCTTCTGAGAAAACAGTCAATTAAAAATTCAAGGTTTTTCCCCAGTATTGGGCCAGATATGATGTATTGCACTCTCAAGCTATATTGAAATGTTAATAAATACAGTTCTCTGTGACTTGTATTTTACAAAATCTCTTTCTACTACTTCCCCCCCAACCTTCCTTGCAGGCTTTTGATCTCTATGAGCAAAGATACGCTGCTGTGAAGATACACCAGCTTAACAAAAGCTGGAGAGATGAGAAAAAAGAAAACTACCACAAGTAAGCGTTTCAAGAAAACACTTTTTTTTTTTGTTCTTTGTAACAAATTAAAGCTGTTCTGGTGGTCGTGATTATTTTACCTATGTCTTCTAGGCACGCCTGCAGAGAGTATAGAATACACAAAGAACTTGATCATCCAAGGATAGTAAAACTCTATGACTACTTTTCCCTGGATACAGATACGTAAGTCTCTCTCTCTCTCTCTCTCTCTCTCTCTCTCTCTCTCTCTCTCACACACACACACACACACACACACACACACACCAGTTATAAATTAAGACCACCCTTCAGGAACATTTTTTGGTTGGACATAAGTAAGGTTTAAATTTCATGGTGTTTGGCCTCAGTGGCTCAGTATTTTCTCTAGTATGATGTTCTGAATGCTGTGGCATTGATTATTGTTCAAGTGCAGTGGTACCTTGGTTGTCGAACGGCTTGGCTCCCGAACACTTGCAACTCCCGGAACACCGTCCAGTTTGTGAACGTTTTTCGGAAGCCGAATGTCCAACTCTGCTTCCGATTGGGTGCAGGAAGCGCCTTGGTTTTCGAAGAAATGATTAAATTCGACAACCAAGGTACCATTGTAGATGTTTCCAGTTTCTTTTGTAAAGTGAAAATGTGATTTTTCCATTTGTGCATACAGTGGTACCTCGGGTTACATACGCTTCAGGTTACAGACTCCGCTAACCAAGAAATAGTGCTTCAGTTTAAGAAATTTGCTTCAGGATGAGAACAGAAATTGTGCTCTGGTGGCACAGCAGCAGCAGGAGGCCCCGTTAGCTAAAGTGGTGCTTCAGGTTAAGAACAGTTTCAGGTTAAGAGCGGACCTCTGGAACGAATTAAGTACTTAACCCGAGATACCACTGTATTCCAAAAAGTTTTTGTATCCATTCTTCTCTCATTGGGACCTCGTCTTCTTTTTTTCCATTTCTGGGCAAGAAACATTCTTGCAGCTGTTGTTGCATACATAAATATGTTTCTATACTGTTTAGGTAGTTCTACCCCTGTAATTCCCAAGAGGAAAGCAAAACTTACTGAAAGAATTAAGAAATCATGATAACAAACTTTTTATAAAAGAATGGACATGGTTTATTGAATATTTACAGACAATTGGAAACAGATAAAGACATTAGCAGGATTATTGTAATAACCTGCTGTTTTAAAAAGAATATAGGATATGCAGGAAATGATAAAAGAAATTGAAGGAACTGCAGAAAGAGGAGGAAGGAAGTCGAATTGTTTGAAATGTTACAGTTTTTGTAAAACTATTGAAATGTATACAAATGAAAACTATAAATAAAAGTTAAGTGAAGATGTGCAATTAATGCAAAGAAATGATGTTCCTATTTCCATTGTATGCTTGAATAATTAAATAGCCTTTGTTTCCTTATCTAACTTTTATTTTTTCCCTTTCTAGGTTTTGTACAGTATTAGAATATTGTGAAGGCAACGATTTAGATTTCTATCTCAAGCAACATAAACTAATGACAGAAAAAGAAGCTAGGTCCATTGTAATGCAAATAGTAAATGCACTGCGATATCTCAATGAGATTAAGCCACCTATAATACACTATGATCTTAAACCAGGTAAATAAGAATTGGGGGGGATCAAACATCATACATTGTATATTATATCTCTAAAACACATTCTTCTCTTAATTCTTAACTAGTGTAGCGCATGCCTCTTTCTTTCTTTATTAAACCCATCTGAGTTCACATTGGCCATGATTTTCTTTTATGGTATGAGTGCTTGGGATACAGGAGAGGTTTCTCTTTTAATCTCTGTTGTCTTTAATCCTTAACAAAAATGTGAATTTAGTTTTATCACTAAATTTAATCATTTAATCACACTCTTCTTTTTTCTAGCCTCACACACCTATTCTCTCTTTTCTGCTGTTTGCTTTGAAGGCAAATTTGCACACTCTGCCCCCTCACCCCACTACTTAATGTTTTGGCTTCTACACTGAGCTATTTCGATGGATGTCTTCCATATTCTGTATGAATTTGGCTTCAATAGGATTTTCTTGTATCTTAAGCCACTGTGTGTGCTTAATTATAATTAGAAATGGATTGAAGTAGCAATAAAACATCATCTTTGAATGTGGCTTGAAGTATATATTTGATATGTGTACAATTTTATATCTGCAGCGTTTAACTCCATGTGCCATGCGCTTGACCTCACAATCTTTATAATGAGGTGCAAAACCTCACATGCATGAGTTGCCTTCAGTAAACCAGAAGTATAGTTAATTAGGTATTTTTCATTTGAATATGCAGGTAAATAATACTGCACACATGCCTCTTTCACACAGCTTTTTGAGTCTTTTGTTCTTGTGTAGATCACTACCTAATACATTTTTTTTATTCAGTAAATGAAAAAGCGTTCAGGCATCTTCCGAAGTCCAAGCTTAGCTAAGGCAAATGGCGTAGTACTGGGAAAATACTGAAAGAGCCAGCATTGCAGTAAACACACAAAGATCTGACGCATCTACATGATGCAGAGTTAGCACAGTACAGTCATACCTTGGATCCAGAACGCCTTGGTACTCAGACATTTTGGCTGCCAAATTCCACAAACTGGAAGTGAGTGTTCCGGTTTGTGAATGTTCTTTGGAACCCGAACGTCCGACGGGGCTTCCGCGGCTTCTGATTGGCTGCAGGAGCTTCCTGCAGCCAATCAGAAGCCGCGTTTTGGTTTCCAAATGTTTTGGAAGTCAAATGGACTTCTGGAACGGATTCCTTTCAACTTCCAAGGTACGACTGTATTATGAAAACTTGGGAAGAATGAACTTTAACCAAACTGTAGCTGTCCTTTGAAAATCCATGGCTCAAATTCTCCCAAGAGATTGTTGAGACGCAACTGCCTCTGCTCACAGGATGGGGCAGTTCTGTGAATATATGAGGAAGACGGAACCATACGCAGCACCTTGAGCCGCTTGGAGGAAATATATAATAATAAGATAATAAATATAATAATAAATGAATGAACCATAGATGTGCCTATAACTAAGGTGTTTCTGTTCTATAATGTCTTCATTTAAACACAATGGAAAAATTGTGAACCACTGCTGGGGGTAGACTTGGTTATTTTAACAAACTCTCCCTCTTGATAGGAAACATCCTTTTGGTAGATGGAACAGCATGTGGAGAAATAAAAATTACGGACTTTGGGCTGTCTAAAATAATGGATGACGATAGCTATGGTGTGGATGGAATGGACTTAACCTCACAAGGGGCTGGGACTTACTGGTAATATTATTATTTCCCATTTGGCAAATGTATTTCTTACTTGTGTGAGAACTGTTTGTAAACCTCCGTCGGCGGATGTAGTTGATGGAAAGAATGTGCTGTCGTTGGTTATTTGAGCTTGTAACCTGACGGTAGAAGTCTGGATTCAACCCTCGAGTCCCACTAGTGAAAAAGCCCGCACAATGGCTTCTGCTAGTGCAATGGGGCTTTCCACCCAGGTCCCAACAAATTGCATTTGTGGGGTCAGGAGAATCCTAAGGGGAGCAGGGGGGATAGTTCTGCTTGGCGAGCTGAAATGTTTGTACTGGAACATTGTTGCTGTTGAATTCCTTCTACAGAATTAATCTTCTCTAATGCATGGAGATTAGTGGTTATTTAATCTTCAATTCTTTTATTAATTATTATCATCATCAAGGTTTTATTGTCTGGTTTCTGGCTGAGGAATGATCACCTTCCTTTAGTGCAAACTTGGTGTGGTTTAACATACAGTATTGGTCACTGGTGGAAGAACAGGATAGTGGCAGAAACTAGGGGTTTTTAAAAAAACAAAACTGGTACAGTAGTTAAGGTTTCTACTGGAAATATGGGAATTGTTATGTACTTTATTATCAGAAACAGCACTTCTCCAATGCAGATTATAGTGAATGAATTATTTCTGTTTATTAGGTAGCATATGTTTGCTTATATGTGTTTAGGAATTTCTAACCTAACTTGTTTGCTTTCAAGGCAGCTTAAACCACACAACAGTTCAAACCACATCTGGTCCGAAATTCAGGCTCCTCACTCTATTTTATTCTGTTCCATAACTTCCTGGTTTGGCATTCCATAATCTGTTTCACCTAAAGTGGCTAACTGTGATTTGTGCTTGCTATCCAAACCAGACGTGGGTGGCGCTGTGGGTTAAACCACAGAGCCTAGGACTTCGAATCCCCGCGATGGGGTGAGCTCCCGTTGCTCGGTCCCTGCTCCTGCCAACCTAGCAGTTCAAAAGCACGTCAAAGTGCAAGTAGATAAATAGGTACCGCTCCGGTGGGAAGGTAAACGGCGTTTCCGTGCGCTGCTCTGGTTCGCCAGAAGCAGCTTAGTCATGCTGGCCACATGACCCGGAAGCTGTATGCCGGCTCCCTCGGCCAGTAAAGCGAGATGAGCGCCGCAACCCCAGAGTTGGTCACGACTGGACCTAATGGTCAGGGGTCCCTTTACCTTATCCAAACCAGAATTGGAAGCCACTGTTTGAAGTGGGGTTCCAATCCTGGTTTGTAGAGCAGACACAAATCACAGCTTGTCAGTTGAGATGTAACGGCAAACAGTGCTTTGCCCAGACTGGGAAGCGTTTGAAAATCAGAGTGCATAAGTGAAGGGAGTCCATGAGCTTAACTTAACAAACAGGTTATCATGTGAATTGACCAATACAAAGTTAATCTATTAAAAAAAATGAATCCTGGAACAAATAGAAGCATGTGAGAAAGCCACTAGATTCTTGGCAATCTGTATCTCTCATAAATACTTCCAAAAATCAGCCTGCTTCTGGAGGGGGAATGTTCTTAATGTGTCTGTTTTCAGTGACTGAGTTTCTATTTTTTCTATCAGGTATTTGCCTCCAGAGTGCTTTGTTGTAGGCAAAGAGCCACCCAAAATTTCTAACAAAGTGGATGTGTGGTCAGTTGGAGTAATCTTTTTCCAGTGTCTATATGGTCGAAAGGTAAAAACAAACCCTTAAACGTAGAGTTTTCTAGTGCATTTCAGTACATCTTCAATGTGGTCTTTTTGAAGGGGGAAAAACCATTTCTGGAAGTAGGTATGGTTCTTCAGCTTCCACCATTTGCCCTTTCCCAACAGGGACAACTTGTTTTTGTTTTTATTTTTTATATAATTTTTATTGATTTTAACATATAAATTATAAAATGTACCACAAAACTTATCACTTATACAATCTTTTTAGACTTCCATCAGCACCTCTGATGATCCACCGTTTTAACCACTTCTTATGCATTTCTTAACTTGTTTTCAAGTGGAATAATTTTAGAATAAAAAGGTGATGTTGCTGATTTCTTTTACCGATATTTGGACATATAGCAATCACTGTCTGAACTTTTCCCTTTCTCCAGCCATTTGGTCATAACCAGTCCCAACAAGATATACTTCAAGAAAATACAATATTAAAAGCCACTGAAGTACAGTTCCCAGTGAAGCCTGTTGTGAGCAATGAAGCCAAGGTAATATTCATGGACTCAAGGTATACATTCTGCTAGAATATGATGTAATCAACCTTGAGATGGATTTTGCTTCAGGGTTAAGGTCAAGAGATAACGTTGAGGCAAATTGTAACAAAATTTGTGTTAAGGTGTTTTTTTTAAATAGCACACCATATTTCAATTCATGTATGTCAATAAATAAAGTTGAAAGTAAATGCAAAGTATCATTTGCATTGTGTATATATTAAATTGGTCATACTATAAAATGTAAGATACTAAAAGTAATAATTTCCTGAAAATCTTGCTCTCAGACTCTCATACATATTCTTGAATATTTTTTTTGGAGTACTTGTAACTAAATTTACTAATTACCCATGAAAACAGACAAATTCCAGATTGTAGTAGTAAATATTTAAAGTTTCTTGACTATTTCTGAAATCAATTTTGATATTCAGCAGGACTAAGCGGATGAAAAAATTAATTTCATCCTTTAGCATCTGTTAGTGCTTCTCCTTCTAGAGAGGCCAAAAGTGCTTTGAATCAGTTTCCCATACGCTGCTGTCATTAATGCCATCTAATTTTAGTGTGTATTTGTCATTGTGAACTAGCAAAGCCACAATGACCACGTTAGAACCATCATTTAAGTTCCCATGATAGATTCCGAATGCAAAATTTGAGATTTCATTAGCACAAAACGTGATGTGAGTGCAGAGGATATCAGTAAATGAAAATTCTGTACCAGAAACTCTCTCAACAAGTCCCATGCTCCAATTTATGCACATGAGTACTTAATTATGGGAGTGATTCTCTCCCCTCCCCAGTTACTATTTTACTTAAATAATGCAAATATAAATCTTGCATTTTTCTGTTGATTCCAAAAAAGAAAAAAGGTCAACCATTGCATGTAGATTATAATTGTGTATCAAAAATTACCTTGCTGATTGGGGGATCCGGTGACATCTGATCCAGTCCTCCAGCTGGGATCTAAAGAGCCCCATCTGTGCACAGGAACATTCTGGTTTTCAGTTCTGGCCTCGGCGCTCTTTTGCTGGATTGGACGCCATTCCATTGGGTTCTTGGACCTTCAGTAGCAATTTGTGGCAAGGAGAGGCCACTGTAGAAAAGAGAGTGTCAACCAGATTCCCTAAAGAAACTCGAAAGTAAGACAGAAAGAGACCACTGCCACCTGCAGTTTGGCTGGCATTTGGTAAATTGGAGGAGAACCACCGTATTTTTTGCTCTGTAAGACACACTTTTCCCCTTCAAAAATGAAGGGGAACTGTGTGTGTGTCCTATGGGGCGAATGCAGGCTTTCGCTGAAGCCTGGAGAGTGAGAGGGGTCGGTGCGCACCGACCCCTCTCGCTCTCCAGGCTTCAGGCAGCTATCCACAAGCCTTCGGAGCGCAGCAGGAGTTCCCGCTGCGCTCGGAAGGCTTGCGGATAGCTGCCTGTTCTGGGGTCGGGGGAAGCTCGGGCTTTCTTTATTTCCCCCCCTTAAAACTAGGTGCGCCCTATGGTCCGGTGCGCCCTATGGAGCGAAAAATACGGTACCTCCTCAACATGGAGATTCTGTTCTTTACTGCAAAGGCTACTAACCATTCATAGAGCCTGTCCTTTGAATTAATCTAGTATGCTTTTAATCTGATGGTTAGCACAGCCACCTGTCAAGAAGCTGGAACTCTTTGTGCTTGGCACCCTCCCACAACATCCTCTGCTTAGGAGACAGATAGACATGCGTGTGATAAATGGATAATGCCAGTTTACTCATTTGGACTTACCTCTGACTCCTGCTGTCATGCCTTTCGGGGTTTTTTATTTTTAGCGTTTGAAAATTATATCCCATGCATTCCACAAGGGAAATCGTAATTGCTAATCTTTTGCCCGTATGTGTTAGCGAAGGATGCTAGCGAGGTATGATTTGGAGCAGACATTGAAATATATGGAGGAGCAACTTGCAAGGCATGAGCTCTCGACCCCTTAGAAGGTGGGGCCTTTTGCATAGAACGCCTGCATATTAACACACCTGCAATCATGAGATCAGAAACTTGCTTTTAAAAAAATCTGTGATTCTGTGCCAGCTGTCAGATTCTCTCAAATTCCAGGCCTGGTAAACTACCAGTCCCATTTCTAAAGGTTTACTTTGGTGTAACATTTTAAAACTCCTATTTTTACTGATGTTTTCATGAAACTTTATTTCTGCTTAGTTTGGCAAGTAATCTGCAGCCCCTCCCCCAAAATTTTTTTACATGTTAAGGATGTAGAACAGACAAGCAGGGAGGGGCTGGCAGAAAGGTGAACACAACATTAATTATTAAATTTGCAAATATAATAATAAGTAAGGAACAGAATTTTTATCTCCCTTTTCAAAGATGGACGCTTAGTGAACAAAGCAAGAATTCTGCTGGAAGCTGGAACAATAGCACTTTCAGTTTAGTGCTAACTTTACTCTTTTAATTTGACTGTTCAGAAATGTCTGCAGTTCACAGTGGCTGCGTACATTTCCAAATATCATTGGGCAGTTCATTTATGGTCACGCTGTCTTTATGTAATAAAAGTTTGGGAGAAAAGAGTGTATAAATTAACATCTCTAAGCATTCACATATTATCTCAGTGCCCACATCTTTGCAGATTAAACAAGAATTTGAGTGGCACAGGATGGAGGTTCAAACTGAGAACGTCTCGTGCAAATTCTGCACGAGCTAAAATCTGAATTAAATCAGAAACTTTTAGCTCATCCTTCTGATGGCTATGCTAGTTCACTCTGTGGTGTTAGTGGGTATCAGATGATGAGCACATCTCCATGTTGAATCAAAAGCCCACTTAACCACTTTCACTTTTATTTTTAGTACCTTAAAGAGCTCAGCTCCCTCACCAGAAGAGGTGATTCAGACCTCGTTTACTGTTAAGAGAATTTGCTCAATTTTTTTCTTCCCCTCTCCCTTCCCGCAGGCATTTATCAGACGTTGCTTGGCATACCGTAAGGAGGACCGGTTTGACGTTCATCAGCTAGCTAATGATGCTTACCTACTCCCGCACATGAGAAGATCAAATTCTTCAGGAAACTTGCATATGACTGGACTGGCAGCATCTCCTACGCCGCCAATATCCAGCATTATTCCCTACTGAAGCTTCTTAAACATGGAAGGCTTGCATGAAATCGTCATGTAGTTTTGCTGCAGCGGACTTTCATCTGAAAGCGTTGGATTAGTGTTTTGACACAAGCTTAACAAATGGGGTGTTCAGACTGTGGCTCTTCTACAAATGTCATTTCTAGGATTGGACTGGATCATGGTCTGTGAAGGGTACATTCATTTCAGACTCTCATATTGGAAACATTGAAGGACAGCATTACCTGTTGCCTCCAAGCAGATGTACTGTGTTTTTAAGACTGAAGAAAATGCGTGTTTTCAGGTTGCCGGGAGGGGAACACTGTAAATAGCCTTTTTAATACTTAACCACACTTTTGGTTGATACTGGAGAGATCTAATAAGGGTAGTTTTTCATTATTCGAATAAAGAAGAAAATGAATGAAGCACGGAAGAACAGCACAGTGCCTGGACAAAAAGCTAAATAAAGAATCTTTCTTCCCAAGAAGTCAACGTTTCAAAAACCAAAGTAAAAATGAGGGACACAGCTGTGTATTGTTAATTTCTTTGGATAGAAGTGATTTAGTATTCTGGGGGCTGGGGAGAAATCTTTAAAATAACTGTTACGTTGGTTGAATGACTGTATTTCCAAAGGGATAAAAATAGCATTTTAAGTAAGGTAGCAAAAGCTAGTTTGGAAACTAGTTCAATTATTTAAATGGCATTTTGATACTTAGCGGACTTGTCAACTGATATCCGCTGCCCAGGCTTTTGAAGAGGGATCTACAAAGGCCATGTATGTAACCAAAAGCAAACAGGTCATATTCAATGTTTCTATGCAGGATAATGACAAAATTCCCTTCTAACTGTATTGTAAATTGTTGTACAGAGGTCATATTTTCAGTTTAAAAAATTTCAGCAACTTATTCCTGTACAAATGTTTAAAGTATGGCTTTTCTAATTGGATATTGTATTTTTTTTAAGTCTCATTGAAGGCGCTTTTAATTGCTGCTAAATGATGTTGCTTTTGCTTTTGCAAAAAATAAAAATAAAATAAATCAAATGACCTCCTTAAGGTGCAAGTCAACTGTACGTCCTAGAGAGACTGAAAAGTAGATAATTCATTAACAATCAAGGCATGTAAAACTGATCTGTGTTGGAACTATACAGTGCAGTTCAAGTCAGTTTCCTGAGCTGGAGCACGTTGATAATAGATGTAGAAGTTGTTTATGGTTATTCACGGTTTCTGGAAATTCTGTCTACAAGGTGGGAAGATGTTCCTCTAAAGAGATGTTTCTTGTGGCCTGTACAGATATTTTAAAATGTGAAACATTTTCTAACTGCCTTGTACGGTAGAATCTTTTTTTCAGAATGCAGTATCTCTCCCATACAAGATTCCTTTTACTGTCACATTCATAATGCTGAATACCTGTACGTAACTTTGTCCATGTTGCAGAAAGGAAGGCTGTATTACCACAAGGTTTTTTTCCTCCCCCATTTAATATTGTACAGTTAAACTGTGGCTCTTGTTTCTGATGTTGCAAGCCATTTTGTTTTCATTGTACATAAGGATACATTAACTGTCTCTTCAAGATGCTGCTGAAATTGTAGAGAATGTAGCCAAAACAGTAATAAAATAATGACAGTTGGAATTTCAAGTAGTTCTCAAGTTATTGCTTTGGATTGAGAAGGGCATTGGCGATAGAAAATCGTTCGTTTTCATATCGGACCACTAAGTTCTGATCTTGGAGGCAGTCCATATATTATGTGGGAACAATGAAAAAGACACAGTACAAGTGACAAGGGCTATTACATTTTCTTACATTGAGATCTGTGCGTTTCAAAGTCACCTGGAACTGTCTGATCCCCTTTGCAGCTGACAGACATGAGACCCACATCTCACATTATTGCAGTTGGGGACAGGAGTCTTTTGCGCAGCTTCTCTTCACTTCTAAGTACAGTCATACCTCGGGTTACAGACGCTTCAGGTTGCGCTTTTTCAGGTTACGGACCGCCGAAACCCGGAAGTACTGGAACAGGTTACTTCCGTGTTTCGGTGGTTGTGCATGCGCAGAAGCGCTAAATCGCACTTTGTGCATGCGCAGAAGCGCTGAATCGCAACCCATGCGTGCATCCTGCACGGATCATGTTCACAACCCGAGCGTCCACTGTACTATGTTTGCTTGGGGGCATATAAAGAAGCCAGATGCTGGAAATTCAGGAGAGACACAAAGGCAAAATTAAAACAGTGGCATTAGCTTCCATAAGATGAGGTGATGTCTACCAACTTGGATGGTTTTAAAAGAGGTTGCACATTTACGGAGGCTGAGGCTTATCGCTGGGGACCAGGCATGGTCACTATAGACTATCTTTGCATTGTTTGATTTCAGTGGACTTATAATTGCAATAAACTTTATAAACCCATGCTTGAACACCAGATCTACATCTGCATAGACCTCCCTTGCTCTAGTTCATATTGCAGTTTTGATGTTTTTGGTTGTGCGGAGATTATGAACCAGTCTTACTTGGAGCCGAATTAAGTGGCAATTTTTTCCCCTTTTGCATAAAATTTCACTTTGGCTGCATGCAGCATGCACCTCAGAATGTGTTGAAGACTTTGTAATAGGAGCAGCAACCCCAAATATCCATTTGCCCCTTCAGTGTGTTTGTCTTTATTTTACCTACAAAAAACAAAAGCGAGGGGTTATAAATCTTGTAAAGATGTTTTACTTGAATTCACCCACTAATCTCCTGAGATGCGCATGTGGTTAATTTGGAACGTGCAACCTGAACGGGTAAGGATAAAAGGCAGAACACCGCCATCATGACTAGTAGCCATTGGTAGGCTTTACTGCCATGAATTTGTCTAATCCTCAGATAGATGCCATTTGGGCCTGGCGTTTTGTTTTGTTGGTTTTTATCTTCCCTATTAGACCACGTACTTGGTCTCTCATCACTATTTGCCTCAGTTCCTCAAACTGCCTTCCAGCAAAAGTTAGTTCAGTCTCAGGAATATGCCCTCTGTCTTCCTCTCTGAAGACTGATGCAAAAAAAATAAATATAAATTTCATTCAGCTTTTCTGCAATCTTTTCATTCTCCTTTAGCATAGCATTAGACTCATTTGTCTTCCAAGGGTCCAACCACGTCTAGCTGATCCTCTGCCACTAATATATTTAAATATTTTGTTGCTTCTGTTCTTCGAGGGGCGCATGGTGCTTTTAGAAAATTCTTAGCATCGCTTATTGTCTGCTTGCATTCCTTTTGACCAAGTTTGTGTTCCATTTTCTTCGCATTTACACATGACTTCCATTTCTTGAAGGAAGACTTCTTGCCTCTAATAGCTTTCATAAATCACGCTGACATCCTCTTGGCCCTGATCTGTGGTATACACTCCAGCTGAGCTTTCTACATTGTGTTTTTAAACAACTCCAAAGCATTTTGGAGTGATTTGACCATCTTGACATTGCCTTTCAACTTTTTACCAGTTCTCCCCATTTTTGAGAGGCTACTTCTTTCGAAGTCACATGCAAGCATGTTTCGTTTTCTTGGCAATTGACAATTTACTTGGTCCATTTATTTTTATTAAATTTAACACCATTTAATAGCACTTGGTCCATATTCCCAATTTCTTCAGTTTATATCTTGCAAAAAGTCCTAGTTGCTTCTCAAGATTAATATCCAGGGTTACCAACCCTCTGGGTCTGTTCCATGACCAACTGTTTCAAAGCACAATTGTGTAAGGTACATGGGATGCGGGTGGCGCTGTGGTCTAAACCACTGAGCCTCTTGGGCTTGCCAATCAGAAGGTCGGCGGTTTGAATCCCCAGGACGGGGTGAGCTCCCATTGCTCTGTCTCAGCTCCTGCCAACCTAGCAGTTTGAAAACACGCCAGTGCAAGTAGATAAATAGATACTGCTGCGGCAGGAAGGTAAACGGCATTTCCGTGCACTCTGGTTTCCGTCACGGTGTCCCGTTGCGCCAGAAGTGGTTTACTCCTGCCAGCCACATGACCCGGAAAGCTGTGGACAAACACCAGCTCCCTCGGCCTAAAAGCGAGATGAGCGCCGCAACCCCATAGTTGCCTTTGACTGGACTTAACCGTCCAGGGGTCGGTGCACACCGATCCCTCTTGCTCTCCTGGCTTCGCTTCTCTGGAGAGGCACTGCACAGTTTTCCCTCTCTGCGCAGCACCCCTTCAGCGAAGCAGGAGGAGAAGTGGAAGGGACTCCGTTTCTCCTGCCGCTTCGCTGAAGGGGCGCTGAACAGAGAGGGAGAGATTCCCCCCCCCCCCCGTTCTCCACCTCTAAAACAAGGTGCGTTCTATAGAGCGAAAAATACAGTATTTATCTACTTGCACTAGCGTGCTTTCAAACTGCTAGGTTGGCAGGAGCTGGGACCGAGCAATGGGAACTCACCCCGTCGCGATTGGCAAGTCCTAGGCTCTGTGGTTTAACCCACAGCGCCACCCGTGCGTTGGTCAATAGGGGGGAACAAAAAGCCCCGAGGAACAATATCCCAATATATTTATTAGAATTACAGTGCCAGAATGTTGTGAAGAAGCTTTTGAGCAAATCGGACCTCACCAGGCAAGATGTTTTCTTACTTTATTTATTTATTTTATAGCTGCCCCATGAAATGAGTTCTCTGGGCAGCTCACAAAGAGTTCAAGAAACAGTAGGATCTTCAGGGGTAAAGAGGAAAGAGAGAGGGGGTTCTTTTTTTGTTTGCCACAAAACACAGTTCCAGCAGCATTGATGGAATTGTGGTTGCCTTCTTCTCCAAAGGCTATTGATGGTGAATTGTATAATGAGCTGAACTTCAAAGACTCGCTGGGACTACTGAATTTGTTCAGTATGCAAGTCCAGTATTCTGCTAACTGAAAAATGCCTGGACAGAGTATCTGTGTTTCTGCTTGCTCTATAAGTTTGTGAGTGAGAATGATCAGCTTCTTGTCAAGGGTTATGTTTTCAGAGCCTTCTATATAAGTGGTTGCTGGTTTTTTTTTTAAGTGATGGGGATCTCTTTTTTAAAAAAAGTTTTAAGGATTATATTATGCAAGCATGGGAGTTGGGAATTGTCGGAATAACTTGCAAGGTTGCAGACATCAAGTTGTGGCTCATCAGGTATGGGGTATTGATCCATAAAGGTGATGGCCGCATACTATAAAGGTATCACAGTTCCAAGCACTGTACTCTTCTCTTTAATTGTATTAACATCAACTTTCTTAAGTAAAACAGGCTTCATAATTGGAACAATCAGCAGCTTGAGTGGCAGCTCAATTAATCAGTGGAATTGGCAGTGAAATCTCTGATTAATTAAACGCTTAACAAATTTAATACTGAAATGATGCCTTTTTAAACTAATGCTTTCCCACTCAGCAGGCTTCTGTTTGTAATTAAAGTTGTCTTTAACATAATTGGAAATGAGAACCTCCGGTAGAATTTGTCTTTGGGAAAGATGATAGTGAAATGGATGTCAACGCTGTGGTTTACTAAACCAAAAAAATCATAAAATACTTTTCAGATAAGACCACTTATTTTTCAGCAACCTGCAGCTGGCTGGAAAGAACTGTGTCCCTGAACATGTGCAGAGTACCTTTTCCAAATCGGTGGAAAATTGCAGTCAACCACTGTGTGTCTGGTAAGAGCGGGGAAAGCTTTTGGCTTCAAAGGCATGATTTTCATATTCCGCAGATGAAGCGTGGTATAAAATTTAACTCACCTAGACAGAATGATCAATTTCTATAGAAAATTTATGTGATTCCACTGATGTTAACTGTGTCTGAAGTGACTTAGTGACTTGGGTTAATCAAATATCTTGAATTTCAACTGGTCACTTATTTTTAATGTGATGCCCAACGGGAGCCAAACTAAGCATGATACACATTGCATAGTTTGGTCCTTTTGTCCCCTTTTGTGGTTAATTTTAACTTTCTATTTCCAAACAGGTAACTGTACAGATATAAGAAATGAAACCAAGTAAGGAAAAATCAAACCGATCCCACTTCAACATTAATCCAATCACCTTGAGCAAACATATAATCAAGGTGTTAATAATAATAACAAAAATCTGATAGCTTGTCAAAAGGGCAGTTTACATTAACTAATTTGCATGGCAAGAACAATACATATCAGGATCAGTGGAATTTTATGATTTCCAGATCCTTGCCTAATGTGATTGGGGAATCTCTGTTGCCGTCTTTTTATGTTAGCAAAACTAATAAAATCCAATCACCCTTTAGCAACTCTTATCTGGTTCTGAGAATCCTTTTAGAGCCCTTAGTCTTTGCATTAATCTCTCTGCTAAATGCTAGGTACCATACTTGGTGGCACCAATATTCCAGAGTCTCCCTCTTCATTTCCTTCAGTCATTTTTATTCCAACTGTCATAAGCAAAAAGCTTTGCTATTTGTTTCTGACTTTGGGGTTGAGTTGAGGTCCATCAAGACTAGCTGTGGGTTTTTGTCCACAGACTGCTATATAACCTCCTAAGGTAAAGGTAAAGGGACCCCTGACCATTAGGTCCAGTTGTGACCAACTCTGGGGTTGCAGCGCTCATCTCGCTTTATTGGCCGAGGGAGCTGGCGTACAGCTTCCAGGTCATGTGGCCAGCATGACTAAGCCGCTTCTGGCAAACCAGAGCAGCGCACGGAAACAC